TGTTGTTGTTTTATGATGTTGTTGAGCTTGGCCTCTTGTAAGCAGCACGGAGTCATGCGGGAGATGGTTGCGGGGTATAAGAACAACAAAATAATACAAGGGGTTGGTATGACTCTGGAGTAAATATCAACCCAGCGCCACTTTCCCTAATTGGATTAGTCTCCTACATATCAAATTAATGACTGGAAGAAATGAATTTTGAAATATTAACGCTAGTTAAGAAAAGTGACATAGTGTCCATGGTGCACGTAAGTAACATTTCCTTTTAGGAACAATTGGCTTGCCAACATGTTTTCTACTTGTTGGTTAGTGTTGCATGTAATTGGACATACTTAAAGAGTGTTGAGAAAGCCATGTTCAGGATGAGATCATAACCCTCACTTTGCACTGGAGGTCAACCTTAAGGAAGTCATAGGGATGAGGGAGCAAGCTTGTTTTCTGCTGCCTTGGAGACTAGGACGCAGAACAATGGCTTCAAACTTCAAGATTCCATCTGAACATAAGGAAGAACTTCCTGACTGTGAGAACCATTCAGCAGTGGAACTCTCTGCCCCGGAGTGTGGTAGAGGCTCCTTCTTTGGAAGGTTTTAAACAGAGGCTGGATGGCCATGTGTCAGGGGTGCTTTGAATACAATATTCCTGCTTCTTGGCAGGGGGTTGGACTGGATGGCCCATGAGGTCTCTTCCAACTCTATGATTCTATTATTCTAATTTGTGGTTTCTCCTTTACAGAGTGGGCTGACTCCTCTTCATCTGGCCGCACAAGAGGACCGAGTCAACGTGGCTGAGGTTCTTGTCAACCAGGGGGCTACTGTGGATGCGCAAACCAAGGTACATATTCTTGAAGTATCGTTTTTACATGTTCCCAGAAGAGATGAAAATTGATGTAGCTTGGTATATTTCGATACTGTTCCATTTTCTGGGTAAAGGCCACCAGGAGGCACCAGAAAGAGAGAATGATAGTCTGTTTTACAGGGGCGGGGAGTTGAAGGAGGAAAACCAGTTCCCTCATTTTCCCTGTTTATTCCCCCTCCCCACTTCCCATTTCATAAATAAGCTTTGTTTCATGACAGGGACATGGGAGGGGGGAATAAGAGGAAAACAAGGGGTAATGGTTTTCCTTCTACAACTAAAATGGACTATCCTTCTCTCTCTAGTGCCCCCTTGTGGCCTCCACCCAGATTATTTATTTGTCGTGTCAGGGCAACCAGTCCATTATATTACATTTCTAACAGAACAAAGCAAACAAACAGACAAAATACAAAATTTGTGAGTTTGGTAGTTGATTAAATGTCCTTTGACCAATATCTGGCCACTTGGAGTGCTTCTGGTGTTGCTGCAAGAAGGTCCTCCACTGTGCATGTGGCAGGGCTCAGGTTGCATTGCAGCAGGTGGTCAGTGGTTTGCTCATCTCCACACTCGCATGTTGAGGATTCCACTTTGTAGCCCCATTTCTAAAGGTTGGCTCTGCATCTTGTGGTGCCAGAGCGCAGTCTGTTCAGCACCTTCCAAGTCGCCCAGTCCTCTTTATGCCCAGGGGGGAGTCTCTCATCTGGTATCACCCACGGATTGAGGTTCTGGGTTTGAGCCTGCCACTTTTGGACTCTCGCTTGCTGAGGTGTTCCAGCGATTGTCTCTGTAGATCTTAGAAAACTGTTTCTAAAGTCGTTGACGTGCTGGCTGATACCCAAACAGGGGATGAGCTGGAGATGTCTCTGCCTTGGTCCTTTCACTATTGGCTGCTACTTCCCGGCGGATGTCAGGTGGTGCAATACCGGCTAAGCAGTGTAATTTCTCCAGTGGTGTAGGGCGCAGACACCCCGTGATAATGCGGCATGTCTCATTAAGAGCCACATCCACTGTTTTAGCGTGGTGAGATGTGTTCCACATTGGGCATGCATACTCAGCAGCAGAGTAGCATAGCGCAAGGGCAGATGTCTTCACTGTATCTGGTGGTGATCCCCAGGTTGTGCCAGTCAACTTTCGTATGATATTGTTTCTAGCACCCACTTTTTGCTTGATGTTCAGGCAGTGCTTCTTGTAGGTACTGCCTGAACATCACCTACGCAGAGGTTGTTGCTACAGCTACAAAAGTGAGAGAATTAATCCGACTTGCTCTACTGCTTTTTACATCACCCTCTATTAACATGGAAGGTGACTTTCTGAAGGGGAGAGTCTCTCTGGACAAAGGTTCCCTCCAGACTTGGAATCCCTTGAAAAACTACTTTCCCTGCATAGAAGGAAATGGAAATGGATTATCATGTTCACCCTTGCCACGCATTTTTTCTGATAGTGTGTGAACAGGGCTTAAATATATGAATATATTTGTTGTTGTCTGTGCACAAAAATAAGACATTAGAGACTTCATAGAGGTGTTTAAAAATAGCATTGGTAAGTCCTGAACTGTGAAGATTTTCATCAATCCAGGGTTCTTGCTGGGATTTCCACATAACCTACTTTTGATTATTTTTTTTTCTGGATATTTTTTGAATATCCTTTGCATTTCTACTATTTTAGCTACCCAAAATGTTGGGGCAACTTGATTGTCTTTTCCCAAGGCAGACCTGGAGTGAGATGCTGATACCTGACTCTAGGTGGGACAAGATTTCTCACTTCATTCCTCATTTACGCATGAGGAAGGAACCATGTTCTTTTTTGTATTGTCGAAGGCTTTCATGGCCGGAATCACTAGGTTCTTGTGGTTTTTTTCGGGCTATAGGGCCATGTTCTGGAGGCATTTCTCCTGACGTTTCGCCTGCATCTATGGCAAGCATC